GTCAGTGAACAGACGCATAATACCCCCCCCCCCCCCCCCCCCCCATAAGCTTAACTCGCCTAGATAAAAGTTTGCAATACGGCTCTTGAGGCTGTAGTTCTATATTCTTTACTCCGTCTTAAAAGTGTGAAACATTTTCCGGCCTTGTGTCTATCACAAGTTATGCCTCTGTGTCTTTTAAGACGATCGACATCCCAAGCGCCAGACTTTGACAGCATGTATGTACTATCCTTAAGACCACCAACTTTATGTAACTAGACTTGAAAGCTATTTGGTTCTTGGCGGACTAGTTCAAGGATTATCTCCCTGCTCGACACGACCGCTGGTATAAATCACCTCCCCTTTCCCCCGCTGTTGGGGTGAGTAGAGCTCATTAATTATTCACCGGCTGTGGCGAGGGTTGTAATATTTTAACGGAAGACTTGGAGGCTGATAGGTCCATGTTTACTTCAAGTTATCTGGTGGTCCCCCGGCAGGGATACGGGCAATAGGTTACTTAGCTATAGGTCGGACATTTTCGTTTAAAATACGATTAAAAGGTGAAAACGTTTGAATGAAAACAAAGGTAAATTGTTAGTTTGAAATTTGAATATCCATCAATATAAATATATATATATATATATATATATATATATATATATATATATATATATATATCTAATATATAAAGCTCAGTTCTGTATGTAATGCATTTGTATGTCGTTGGAATTGTACGAATTTAAGTGTTAGAAAATTATCGTGCGCATTTGTCTAAATTTATGAGCTAAAAAATTACTATTGAAAGTGTAGGGAAATAATTTTCATTTTTCAAATTATAGTAATAATTGTCGGCATGTTCATTAAACACAAGTTTTAAAAAAAATATCATCTTTTACAAAAATTCTAATTATGTCTTTATATAGTCCTATAGCACTTACTTCCCTTTGATAAATTAGGAAAAACACAATTACTTCCCTTTGGTATAAATCACCTCCCCTTTCCCCCGCTGTTGGGGTGAGTAGAGCTCATTAATTATTCACCGGCTGTGGCGAGGGTTGTAATATTTTAACGGAAGACTTGGAGGCTGATAGGTCCATGTTTACTTCAAGTTATCTGGTGGTCCCCCGGCAGGGATACGGGCAATAGGTTACTTAGCTATAGGTCGGACATTTTCGTTTAAAATACGATTAAAAGGTGAAAACGTTTGAATGAAAACAAAGGTAAATTGTTAGTTTGAAATTTGAATATCCATCAATATAAATATATATATATATATATATATATATATATATATATATATATATATATATATATATATATATATATATATATATATCTAATATATAAAGCTCAGTTCTGTATGTAATGCATTTGTATGTCGTTGGAATTGTACGAATTTAAGTGTTAGAAAATTATCGTGCGCATTTGTCTAAATTTATGAGCTAAAAAATTACTATTGAAAGTGTAGGGAAATAATTTTCATTTTTCAAATTATAGTAATAATTGTCGGCATGTTCATTAAACACAAGTTTTAAAAAAAATATCATCTTTTACAAAAATTCTAATTATGTCTTTATTTAGTCCTATAGCACTTACTTCCCTTTGATAAATTAGGAAAAACACAATTACTTCCCTTTATAAAACCATTGCATTCCGTGAAAATAATTTACTTTTTAATTACTTTGTTTTGGTGTTGGGAAAAAAAATAATTACATAATTAGCGGGGATTGATCAACTGCAAATCTTCTAGGTATTTTACGGATAAGCTTGGAGTATTAAAATTGTTTATTAAATTGAAACAGGCGCGTTCGTTTAAGTGAGTGCAAAAGACTGTGAATAAGTTGGGGTACTATAGTCGTTCATTAAGCTAAAACAGGTGATTCCGCCCCGGGCGTTTATGTTCGCGTTAGTGTTTTCTTTGTGTTTAGGTGGGTTTGCGTTAGTGGTTGCGTTTTAATTTGGTTCGTTTTTGTTCTTTCTTTTTTCGTTTTTGTTTGTGTTTTTTTTGTTTGGGTTTGTATTTGTGTTTTTGGTTGGTTTTGCGTTTGGATTTGGTTTGTTTTCGTTTGCTTTTTTCGTTGATTTTTTTTTTTGTTGGTATTGGTGTTTGTGGTTGGGTTTGTTGTTAGGTTTTTGTTTTCGTTTGCTTTTTTGTTTGTTTTTTCTTTGTGTTTGTATTGGTGTTTGTGGGTGTGGTTGTGTTTGTTGTTAAGTTTTTGTTTTCGTTTGTATTTGTAATTGTGTTAGCGTTATGTTTGCGTTTTGTTGTTTTGGTTTTGGTTGGTTGTGGTTTGGGTGGGCAATGCCGAGTTTATGATGATTACTAAACACACAGGTAATGGTCTTTAACAGAAAGGTTTTTCACAGAAGCCAGAGCAGGGCCTGGCCGGGACGGCTAGTATATATATATAATATATAAAGCTCAGTTCTGTATGTAATGCATTTGTATGTCGTTGGAATTGTACGAATTTAAGTGTTAGAAAATTAGCGTGCGCATTTGTCTAAATTTATGAGCTAAAAAATTACCATTGAAAGTGTTGGGAAATCATTTTCATTTTTCAAATTACAGTAATAATTGTCGGCATGTTCATTAAACACAAGTTTAAAAAAAATATCATCTTTTACAAAAATTCTAATTATGTCTTTATTTAGTCCTATAGCACTTACTTCCCTTTGATAAATTAGGAAAACAAAATTACTTCCCTTTATAAAACCATTGCATTAGTCGAAAATAATTTACTTTTTAATTACTTTGTTTTGGTGTTGGGAAAAAAAAATAATTACATAATTAGCGGGGATTGATCAAGTGCAAATGTTGTAGGTATTTTACGGATAAGCTTGGAGTATTAAAATTGTTCATCAAATTGAAACAGGCGCGTTCGTTTAAGTGAGTGCAAAAGACTATGAATAAGTTGGGGTACTATAGTCGTTCATTAAGCTAAAACAGGTGATTCCGCCCCGGGCGTTTATGTTCGCGTTAGTGTTTTCTTTGTGTTTAGGTGGGTTTGCGTTAGTGGTTGCGTTTTGATTTGGTTCGTTTTTGTTCTTTCTTTTTTCGTTTTTGTTTGTGTTTTTTTTTTGGGTTTGTATTTGTGTTTTTGGTTGGTTTTGCGTTTGAATTTGGTTTGTTTTCGTTTGCTTTTTCGTTGTTTTTTTTTTTGTTGGTATTGGTGTTTGTGGTTGGGTTTGTTGTTAGGTTTTTGTTTTCGTTTGCTTTTTTGTTTGTTTTTTCTTTGTGTTTGTATTGGTGTTTGTGGTTGTGGTTGGGTTTGTTGTTAGGTTTTTGTTTTCGTTTGTATTTGTAGTTGTGTTAGCGTTATGTTTGCGTTTTGTTGTTTTAGTTTTGGTTGGTTGTGGTTTGGGTGGGCAATGCCGGGTTTATGATGATTACTAAACACACAGGTAATGGTCTTTAACAGGAAGGTTTTTCACAGAAGCCAGAGCAGGGCCTGGCCGGGACGGCTAGTATATATATATATATATATATATATATATATATATATATATATATATATATATATATATATATATATATATATATATATATATATATATGTATAACGTAAGTTGCCAATACAGGTTTTCCCGTGACCGATTTAATATACCAAATCCTGATTACTTTGTAAAACCTGAGCACTTTTAGGCTGGCATTGAAACCACATCGACTTTTCTCTCGGTAATATTACAACTTACCTGACCAGAAAATACCCCACCCCTCCCTCCCAAACACACACACACACACAAACACACGTTTTTACCTAAAGAAGGCTTATGAAATGTGGACGAATTTTTTTTTTTTTTTTTTTTACACCAAATATCGTGATGTGCGTGTTATGTTTAATATTACCAGAGATCCTGACACTGTAATTTAAAAAAAAATACTATTTGTTTTTCTGTTCTTGTTGAGAATCAGTACTAGGTTCTGATGAAATGGGGATTTTAAATCTTCATGTTTGTTAATACGTTCGTTGACCCCGGGTATTCTTTTCTAAAGGACATCAGAAATGTAGGGATGTTTTGATTATTGGAAATTAAAATTTCGTAGTTTACACGTTACTTATCAAATAGTTTTACACTTACACAAGTAGTTTTACACTTACATATCAAGTAGTTTTACACCTATACATTAAATACTTTACTTATCAAGTAGTTTAGAATTTACTTAAAATGTATTCACGTTTAATTTAAGACGTAGTTTACACTTTAAAATTTAATATGATAAGATCATAAATATTATCATAACTAATGTTACTTCATAAAAAAATACGAAATTACGGTAACTGTAGTTGGTTGCTGATTGGTGTTACACTATAAAAAATATGAAATTACTGTAACTGTAGTTGGTAACCGATTGGTGTTACACTATAAAAAATATGAAATTACTGTAACTGTAGTTGGTAGCTGATTGATGTTACACTATAAAAAATATGAAATTACTGTAACTGTAGTTGGTAGATGATTGATGTTACACTATAAAAAATATGAAATTACTGTAACTGTAGTTGGTAGCTGATTGATGTTACACTATAAAAAATATGAAATTACTGTAACTGTAGTTGGTAGCTGATTGGTGTTACACTATAAAAAATATGAAATTACTGTAACTGTAGTTGGTAGCTGATTGGTGTTGTTTCCAAATAGAACAATCTGGCCATCATTTGAACTGACTGGGTATGAACCACCTTAGCTCAGGTACCTACAGCTATTAGCCATTTTAGCTAGATGTGACCCTCTTGGTATTTCATATCAGAGAAACCAACTTCGCCTCGTTCTTTTCTGTTCTAGAATAAATATTTTGCCTCGTTCTTTTCTGTTCTAAAAATAAATATTTCGCCTCGTTCTTTCTGTTCTAGAATAAATATTTTACCTGTTCTTTTCTGTTCTAGAATAAATATTTTCCCTCGTTCTTTTCTGTTCTAAAAATAAATATTTCGCCTCGTTCTTTCTGTTCTAGAATAAACATTTTACGTCGTTCTTTCTGTTCTAGAATAAACATTTTACCTCGTTCCTTTCTGTTCTAGAACGAACATCACAAGAACAGAATGAAGCATCAGGGACTACGACAAGTAAGTGTCACGTGATCTTCTTGTTTACATTCGTTGATCTGACGGCATCTGTTGATACTAAAAGAACGTATTGCTTTAAAGGACCTGTCGTCGATGCTGTCGCCAGGTGTTGGGGTGGGGGTGAGATGTAGTCACGTGATTCTAGGCTGGCCAGGTACATGGGTTAAATACAGTGCTTCAAGGTAGAAGGTTGGTTTGGTGGGGGAGGGGGGGATTGTGTGATTCAAGATACAAGGTTGGTTTGGTGGGGGAGGGGGGATTTTGTGATTCAAAGATACAAGGTTGGTTTGGTGGGGGGGAGGGGAAATTGTGTGATTCAAAGATACAAGGTTGGTTTGGTGGGGGAGGGGGGGATTGTGTGATTCAAGATACAAGTTTGGTTAGGTGGGCGAGGGGGGATTGTGTGATTCAAGGTACAAGGTTAGTTTGGTGGGGAAGAGGGTAATATGTGCTTCATGACTGGCCAGGTTTAGTGTTTAAAATGCTAATTGAGTACGGCCAGGAGTTTTACAGTAAAATGATCTATAAATAGCACAGAACAGAATATGACGCTAGAACCTAACACTCTATGCGACGCAACACGACGCTTCTAAAAACTTGGAGGCTAGAACCTAACACTCGACACAACACGGCGCTTCTAAAAACTTGGAGGCTAGAACCTAACACTCTATGAGACACAACACAACGCTTCTAAAAACTTGGAGGCTAGAACCTAACACTCTATGAGACACAACACAACGCTTCTAAAAACTTGGAGGCTAGAACCTAACACTCGACACAACACGACGCTTCTAAAAACTTAGTAATAAAACAGATAGTATTAGTTGCCTCACAAGTTAAAGACAGTTACAAGTACTATGGACGTTTCGACCCAAGGTCTTCGTCAGCACACAACAGTGTGATTACAGATTAGACAAATAAAGACAAACAGTAACACATTTTTTGACTTAGCTCGACAGTGAAAACACGTCTTGTCTGCTAGCCACGATATCCAAAAGAAAAGACGCGTGAGAAGGACGCTTGGACACCGTATAGGGGTGGGGTTGGGGGCGTGGTGTATGCGGGAGGGGGGTTGGTTAGGTGAAAGATATCTGTTCATTCAAGCCATCGGGTGCCCGTGTACCAAATTTAAGTATTAGTCGCGTTTCAGTGCTAAGGCGATTTTTAAAATTGTGGCAAAACCGAACGGCGGTTACACAAGTCCTTTTTTAAGTCATGCCCACTCTTGTTGAAGTGTTTGGCCACAGGAAGACCGTCTTCATTGTTGATTGATCGCAGGTGTTGGCTAACCCTGTCAGACAATCTTTTCCCCGTTTGTCCGATATAAAAGATGTTGCAACGCCTGCACTGGATGACGTAAACTACGTTGCGGGACTCACAGTTGAAGTGATTTTTAATTTTGAGGGTTCCCTTCGGCAGCTGCAGTGATTCAACCTGAAGGGTGAAATGACAGGTATTGCATTTACGGGGACAAGGAGTGGTGCCAAAACCGGTGTTGTTAGTGGGTGGCAGGCGGCTGCGAACTAAAAGGTCTCTAAGGTTGCGTTCCCTTCTATACACAACCAAAGGATTCTGTTGAAATAAATGGCCTAAATGGGGGTCTGACTTGAGGATAGAATAATTTTTTATAATGATATTTTTAGCCAAAACTGAATGAGGATGGTAGGGTAAGATGAGTTTAGTTCTATCTGACTTTTGTTTTGGAAATTGTTGAAGGGAGGCTTGGTGGTCAACAGTTGTTATGCGGTGTAGTGCTGACTGGAGTATATGCTCCGGGTATGACCGGAGTCGGAAGAACTGTAGTAGCTCATGGGCCTTGATCCAAAAGTCGTCATCATCTTGACAAATACGTCGCAGTCTTAATAATTGTGAGAATGGTATAGAATTTTTGCAGGCCGGGGGGTGTGACGAAGAGTAAAGCAGATATGAATGTGAATCGGTTGGTTTGTAATATACAGTCGTCCCAACGTTGGTTGTGTTAAGCGATATTGTCATATCCAGGAAGTTAACAGAACTCTCTGAAATTTCAGAGGTAAATTTAATGTTTGGGTGGTAGTTGTTGCAGAATGATATGAAATCTTGCAGTTCTTCTTCTGCCATCTCTGTGATACCTAACCCATCATCAATGTACCGCCGATAAAAACATGGAATTCTGCCAGTGTATTTTTCCTGGATTTGACCCTCCAGGTAACCCATGAAGAGACACGCATAACTAGGACCCATTTTAGTTCCCGTAGCTACCCCACTTATTTGGTCAAAGAACTGACCATCGAACTCGAACGAGTTGAGGTTGAGAACTAACTCGGTTAATCTAAGTATGGTATTACTGTCAATAGAGGGATGGGGGTTCACATTAAAGAAGTTGAAGGCTAGAACCTAACACTCGACACAACACGACGCTTCTAAAAACTTGAAGGCTAAAACCCAACACTCTATGCGACACAATACGACGCTTCTAAAAACTTGGAGGCTAGAACCTAACACTCGACACAACACAACGCTTCTAAAAACTTGACACACGCCAAATGTCGTGACACTCGCTCTCAGCACTTTAAGGTGTTTTTGTTTTAATGACTGTTCAAAAACTAGCCACAGAACAGGCTAATTGAGCAATACAACAGAACAATAAATTAACATTGAATGCTGGCCGTACAAAAAATAATTTAAAAATTGATAGTTCGGTTCCTTCTTTTAGTATAAAAATTAGGAGCAGTTAATTTTAATCACTAGTCTAAGTGAAGTTATAATTTTATGTAATTATCTTGCCTCGTTAATAATTTTCACATCATCCTTTTTTATAATTCTAAAATCTTTTTCTCGATTAGAAAATTACAAGAGATCGCCGGATATTTGAATGCTTTGAAAAAAAATAGAATTATAAATGTCCAAGAAATCTACGCCGGTTTTAGATATTGCTCATGTTCGTTAGGAGAGAACTTTTAAAAATGTTTTCTTTTCATGTCAGTGTGAAAGGTTCAAATCAAAATAAACAATGAGAACAACTCTATTGTTTTACCTCAAGTATCTTTAGATCATTTGGTCTAGGTTGCCACTATTTTCTGAAATGGTCCATTGTCAATTCCACTTGATACCCGGTAAAACAGAAAGTGAAACTTGAGAAATTGTGTACAGATAGTCTAACTACCCGACACTAGTCTAACTACCTGACATTTGAGAAATGAGTACAGCTAGTCTAACTACCCGACACTAGTCCAACTACCTGACATTTGAGAAATGTGTACAGTTAGTCTAACTATCCGACACTAGTCTAACTACCTGACATTTGAGAAATGTGTACAACTTGTCTAACTACCCGACACTAGTCCAACTACCTGACATTTGAGAAATGTGTACAATTTGTCTAACTACCCGACACTAGTCCAACTACCTGACATTTGAGAAATGTGTACAACTTGTCTAACTACCCGACACTAGTCTAACTACCTGACATTTGAGAAATGTGTACAGCTAGTCTAACTACCCGACACTAGTCTAACTACCTGACATTTGAGAAATGTGTACAACTTGTCTAACTACCCGACACTAGTCTAACTACCTGACATTTGAGAAATGTGTACAATTTGTCTAACTACCCGACACTAGTCTAACTACCTGACATTTGAGAAATGTGTACAATTTGTCTAACTACCCGACACTAGTCTAACTACCTGACATTTGAGAAATGTGTACAATTTGTCTAACTACCCGACACTAGTCTAACTACCTGACATTTGAGAAATGTGTACAATTTGTCTAACTACCCGACACTAGTCTAACTACCTGACATTTGAGAAATGTGTACAATTTGTCTAACTACCCGACACTAGTCTAACTACCTGACATTTGAGAAATGTGTACAATTTGTCTAACTACCCGACAATAGTCCAACTACCAGACATTTGAGAAATGTGTACAATTTGTCTAACTACCCGACACTAGTCTAACTACCTGACATTTGAGAAATGTGTACAATTTGTCTAACTACCCGACAATAGTCCAACTACCAGACATTTGAGAAATGTGTACAATTTGTCTAACTACCTGACAAAACTACCCAGACAAATCACACCACAAACTCAGGCACTTGTATGGAAATGATCCACAATCAAGCTAAACAAATGAATTAGACAATTCTATTTGTTAACTTAATTTCAGTAGGAAGCTGTCAGTTGAATTCAAAAGTTGTCTCGGTCTAAGTTTGCTGTCAGTTCTAGAATAAGTGGGTTGTTGAGGTACAGGAGTGGGTCAGCTGTTGTTGAGGTACAGAAGTGGGTCAGCTGTTGAGGTACAGAAGTGGGTCAGCTGTTGTTGAGGTACAGAAGTGGGTCAGCTGTTGTTGAGGTACAAAAGTGGGTCAGCTGTTGTTGAGGTACAGAAGTGGGTCAGCTGTTGTTGAGGTACAGAAGTGGGTCAGCTGTTGTTGAGGTACCGAAGTGGGTCAGCTGTTGTTGAGGTACAGAAGTGGGTCAGCTGTTGTTGAGGTACAGAAGTGGGTCAGCTGTTGTTGAGGTACAGAAGTGGGTCAGCTGTTGTTGAGGTACAAAAGTGGGTCAGCTGTTGTTGAGGTACAGAAGTGGGTCAGCTGTTGTTGAGGTACAGAAGTGGGTCAGCTGTTGTTGAGGTACAGAAGTAGGTCAGCTGTTGTTGGGGTACAGAATTGGGTCAGCTGTTGAAGAAGTGGGTCAGATGTTGAGGTACAGAAGTGGGTCAGATGTTGAGGTACAGAAGTGGGTCAGATGTTGAGGTACAGAAGTGGGTCAGATGTTGAGGTACAGAAGTGGGTCAGATGTTGAGGAACAGAAGTGGGTCAGATGTTGAGGTACAGAAGTGGGTCAGCTGTTGGGGTACAGAATTGGGTCAGCTGTTGAAGAAGTGGGTCAGATGTTGAGGTACAGAAGTGGGTCAGATGTTGTTGAGGTACAGAATTGGGTCAGCTGTTGAAGAAGTGGGTCAGATGTTGTTGGGGTACAGAAGTGGGTCAGCTGTCGTTGAGGTACCGA